CGGGATCAATTTAAAATTTTTTAAAAGAGGAAAAACAACCAGCTGTCAGCACACATAAAGGATCCAAATCGAGTAGGGAAAGATAAGGAAGGAATCTCTCCCTCTCCCTAGAGGGTCTGAACCCTAGCTTCTGCTCAGAGAAAATTTTCTATTGCGCACACTTGAAAGCTACGTAATAATTTTTTTTCTTAGATGGTGTCAGGCTCTGTCGCCCAGGCTGGAGTGCCGTGGCGAGATTTCGGCTCACTGCAAACCTCCAACTCCCGGATTCAAGCATTATCTTGCCTCAGCCTCCTGAATAGCCGGGATTACAGGGTGGGTGCCACACACTTGGCTAATTTTTGTATTTTCTTTTCTTTGAAACGGAAGTTTGCTCTTGTTACCCAGGCTGGAGTGCAATGGCACGATCTCGGCTGACCGCAACCTCCGTCCTCCTGGGTTCAAGCAATTCTCCTGCCTCCAGCCCTCCAAGTAGCTGGGACTAAGGCGTGCGCCACATGCCCAGCTAATTTTTTGTATTTTAGTAGAGACGGGGTTTCACCATGTTGACGAGGGATGGTCTCGATCTCTTGACCTTGTGATCCACCCATCTTGGCCTCCCAAAGTGCTGGGATTACAGGTGTGAGCCACGGCGCCTGGCTATTTTCATTTTTTCATGAGACAATCTCACTCTGTCACCCACGCTGGAGTGCAATGGCATGATTCAGCTAACTGCAACCTCCTCCAGGTTCAAGTGATTCTCAGCCTCAGCCCCCCAAGTAGCTGGAATTACAGTCACCTGCCACCATGCCCAGCTAGTTTTTTTTTTTTTTTTTTTGTATTTTTAATAGATATGGGTTTCACCATGTTGGCCAGGCTGAAATTTTGTGTTTTTAGAAAAGACAGTTTCACCATGCTGGCCAGCTGGTCTTGGACTCCTGACTCAAGTGATCTCCCATCTCAGCCTCTCAAAGTGCTGAGTATAGGGGTGAGCCACCAAACCAGCTGTTAAGTAACAAAATATTAATAGTGGTTTTGTACTG